AAGTATTTGGTATATTTTACATTTTCTAGTCAATTCTCTCTTGCTTTTTTTTTTTCTTAGAAATATTTCCTTTTTTATTATACAGTTTCCCGTAGCTGGAATGGTGGCCTACACCTGTAAACTTAACACTGGGAATCTGAGGTTGGAAGATTGCAAGTCTGAGCCCAGCCTGGGCAATTCAGTGACTTAGTGAGACCCTGACTTAAAATGAAGAATGAAAAAAGGACTGGGAGGCTCTGGGTTCAGTTCTCAGTACCATCAAAACAAGCAAACAAACAAAAACAGGATTTCTTATCAAGAAAAATGTTATGTTTTAATGAGCACTGTTATATGTCTTATAGTTTTTATATAAATAAACTTTTAAAAACTTATCTCTAGCTTAAGCAGTTTTGTAATATGAAGGACAATCCTCTCTTAAACCTACCATTCTAGGCATTATTTCACCATTTAGTCTTTTTTTTTTTTTTAAATGTATTTGGTACAGGATCTCAGTACACAACTCGGACTTGGAGAGAGCCTCCTGTTTTCAGGTACCCCAGGGTGGGATTACAGGCATGCGGCACCACACCCCATCCCAGTGGCCCACTCAGCATGCCCAGGGGTGGGGCTGGTGTGCATGTGATGCTGGGGATGGAACCCTGGTCCCTGCGCTTGCCTAAGCAGGTGCTTAATCTGCTGAGCTATCTTGCTTCCCTAACATCTTTAGTCAACATCTATAATAATTTTAAGCACTTGCAATTATAATATGTATATAGTTTTGCTCTCTACTTTTTTCACTTCATGTTCTTTTTTGTTCTAGTTTATTAGTACATGTGTGTAGTACATACTGTTTACATTCCTCATGAGAAGGTGCTACATGTGTATAATATCAGGTTATTTCATAAGCACTTTTTCACATTGTTTCATAGTAGTCATACTTACTACCTTAAATGCCTGTATAATATTCCTTTGAGTTACCATGTTTTCATTCCCCTATCACTGAGTTTAATTCCAGGGGTTTTTTTGTCATGGTTTTTAGTATTCTAATAAATATCTTGGTACAGCTATTTTTTTCTGGACAGAACTTCATTATTCCTTTGAGTTACTTTTTCTCAACAGATTCCACAAAGTACAACTCGTAGACCAAACAATATGAAGCATTTTTTCCTTTGGTTTTTGTTAGTTGTTGAATGCCTGATTATTTTGTTTGCTTTTTAGTTAGTCACCTCTGTGCTTCAATTTTGTTGTACTTATTACTTACAAAAACTTAAAAAGTTCATATTGCTGGCTACTGTGTTTCAGTATATATAAATCAGACTCTCCTAATGTAACGAACTGCCATACAATAGCAGGTCTGCATGAAGTTTCTATAAATCCAGCAGGAACATTTTGTCAGTTTCTGTGGGTAACTGTGCAGTGGGAAAAGTTGTTCTGCAGGAGCTTAAGGGAGAGCATCCCCTTCACTTCTCAGTTAAGAAAATGAAGTAACATGGAGAGATAGCTCAGTGGAATAAGCACCTGCCTGGCAAGAAAATGAAGTAACAAATAGTTTAATAGTTGAAGACCACATATACTCTCATTGTCTCACAACTTGGTTTTCTATCATGTGTATACAAAATATGTAGGTGCCAGCCCCAATTCTTACGGTTTTACTCACATATATTAACATAAGTCAAAACTTCAAAGAACATAAATTAAATAAACAAAACTTTATTCTAATTTAATTCACTGAAGCTAGTGATAGAGCTGCTTAATGATTATTTGGGTTGTGAGTAAATAACTGCAATTTTTAAAAATATACTGTTTAGATTTTTATCTATGGAACTCTGATTTTATATTCTGCATTTGTGTGTCCTGGAGATCCAGTGTACCAGTCTTAATCCTTTTAAAAAGAAAATGATTTCTCATTTTACAGCTAGATCCCTGGAATATACCCTCTTATATCTGATTGCATAAACATAACTTAAAATAGAATGAGGTTCTCAGTATTCCACCCAAAGTAGCTCCTTTATTGTCATTGTTACCCCTGCTTTCCTCCATACTTAGTGATAAGACCAGGAATTATCCCCAGCCCTCACTTTGCTTTTCAGAATCTAGTTATTTCCAAGTCATGACTACAGTGTTGTCAGTGTTTTCCCCAACTGTTTGTTTTCTATTACCACCGCCTTAGTCCTGACTCTAGACTACTGTAGCAGTCCATTCTGTCTCCCTTTAGTTCCTCTGTGTTTTGTCCTGTCTTTAAAACTATTTAAAATCCTCTGAAATCTGTTACCCAAATCGCAACTTAACTGCAGTTCCCAAAGACAGCAAATCAAAGTGGGTTTTCTTCATTGTTTCCTGTATGTGCTGTCCTGATTGCCAGTTTCTTAACCAACAGTAATTGTCCCACCTACCACCTTTCCCCAACCTGAACCTTTCCTATCTGCACCAGGTAGTGTGGCCACAGTTAATTGGCCACAGTTCCACTCCTCACATCCAAACAGTACATGCCCCACTGTTTTATCATTTACTTTCTGTTTTTCTACCTGCATTAGAAGATCGTATGTCTTTGATGGACAAGGAGTCTTAAATCTCACAGTATCCCGCACTATGTTGGTAGGCAGTAACAGACTAGAGATTGAGGGGATGGACTCCGAGGAGACATAAATCTGAGTTGAATTCGGTTTCTGCCACTTGCAGGTATAGGACCTTCAATGAATTACCAAACTTGTTTCCTTATTTATACAATAAGCATGATTATAACCCCTCCACAAAATTTTTGAAAAGATTAAATAAATATGTATAAAACGTGTCTAGCACAATGTCTAACATGTAATAAATACTAAATGGTAGTAATTATCATGCTAGCTGCTCAGTTCATGTTGTTCAGTCACCGTAATGATGACTGACATACAATCCAGGAATAATCTATTCTCGTCTGACAGATGACTATAAATATCACATGATAACAGCGTTAAGATGTTTTCTTACAGTTACCAATAGGCTTGCTGGAACTTGAATACAGGGCGTTTGGGATTTGTCCGTTTGTTTCAACAAATGGAAATTCAGAAAATTCAGGATATTGTTTTGCTCATATGTAGTCTAACCTAGTGCAAAGAAGGAATTGCTGTCAGTGTGCTGTTGTATATTTAAACCAAAACAAAAATCACCTTTTTTGTATGTAGATATTGACTCCATCCTAAAAAGATTTTTGTTTTACTGCTAAGGGTTGAATCCAGGGGTTCACATATGCCAGGCAGCAAGAAAGAAGAAAGACATTGTTGCAGCACAGAATATATTATCATATAGGAAGGATAAATTCTAAAACTAAAAATACTCACAGAAAGTTCTACATTGTAGAAAAGTCATCCTTCTGTGTCTCATGTATCCTATCATTTAAATGTAACTGAACCTCTTTCAGAAATTAAAGTAGGTAATAAAATCTAAAGTTACTTCAAAAATTAAAATTAAATAGAATGATTTGTTCTAATGGTGTTTGTAAATAGGATCACAAGTCCGCATCTTGTACAGCAATTAACCACTAAGAAGAATATATGCAGTGTATTATTTGTTGAAACTGTACTTCGGATTTGATTTGAAACTGCCTCATTGCTATCTGTTTATCAATAAAACTTTGAAAAAAAAATAAATAATTAAAATTATACAGCAAATACAAAAGATTTAAAAATTTGCACGTCTCTGATAGAGTATTAGAATACAAGTGTTATAAAAAGAGTATTAAAGTATTGGTAAAGAATGCCTTGTTCATAAATTAATTAAAAGGCAAATATATTTAGCTGCAGAGTGAAAACAGCAAACCATACGATACCCAGATAATCAAGGATCAGAGTATTCTGGGGATTTCAGTAGCCATTCTCAAAGCTGGGGCTTGTGACACAACCGTGTCAAACAGAAAAGCTGTAGGAGTTGTAGGGTCCCACTGATACCAGTAGGAGGAACACAGGACACAGAACGAGTCACTAACATGTGTTTATTTTGTATCCCTTGTGTTTGCACTATCTAGGATAAAAACTAGTCCCTGGCCACTTGTTTGTTTCTCTTCTTCAATCATAAGGCATGATTTACAGTCTTTTTTCTTTTTCTTTTTTTTAAAACAGGGATCACATGCAGTGGTCTGAAGAAGAAGCAGCAGCTGCCAGAAAAAAAGTAGAAGAAAACTCAGCTGTGCGAGTGGAGCAGGAAGAGCAAGGTAGCAGTGACACGCGGCTCCTGGAGCCCAGCTTCCCTGTTTGATCTCCAGCTTGTTCCATTCACACCCGCATCACCACTTCTTCTCTGTCACTGCTTTTGAGAGTTCTTAGCTTTTGTCTAAGCCAATCAATCCACTCATTCTCTTTGGTAGAATTCCCAGTTCTTCTGGTATAGTGGGACCAAAATTAATGAAATAAATTATGTATTCACCCTATAATTGGTCTTTTGGTAGTCATATTGCTTTTTCTGGGAGTTACACATATGGGTGGCATTTTGAGCAAGATATGAAAATGTAACTTTAAAATCTTTCTCTTGCTATACTGCTGTCAGTATGCTATTGTATATTTCACTTGCTAGAAACTTTGAACAAATTCATAAACTCTGAATAAAAAAGATGAAGTTATACAAAACATTGCTGGTCTTTTAAGATAAAGTTTTAATAGGGATTGAAAGTACTCTTCATAGAGACCTCTTATTTATACCTTAATTTAGGTAAGCTCTTGCCAGCAGTGCTGTGAAAAACTTGGCCTGTGCTGCTGTCAAAAAAACCAGAAAATGACAAGTGTTGGCAGGGACTTAGAGACATGGGAATGAGCCCTTGTGCACTCTTGGTGGGATTGTAAAGTAGTGTGGCCACCATGGAAAACAGTACAGAAAGTGCTCAAAAAAATTAAAATTAGAACTTCCATATGATCTAACAGTTCACTTCTGGGTTGTATCCAGAAAGCTGAAAGCAAGATTGCAAAGAGATATTTGCATCTCCGTGTTCATAACAGCACTACTCATGATAGGCAAAAGAAGCAGTCAAAATGTGCATCGTTGGGTGACTGGATAAACAAAATGTGGACTATACATAATGTGGAATGTTATGCTACCTAAAAAGGAAAAAAATCTTGTTACATATTAGAGCATGGCTGAGGACATCGTGTTAAGTGAAATAAGTCAACCACAAAACGAATGCTACTGTATGATACCTCTTATATGATAGCTAAAATAATGAAACTCATAAGAACAATAATACAGTGGTTGCCACAAGCTAAAAGAAACAGGGAGAGCAAACTATTTAATGGGTTTAGAGTTATAGTTTGGCATGTTAGACACAGTCTGGAGCTATTTTACAACAATGTGAGTACTTAATATTACTGGGCTATGTGCTTAGAAATGCTCAAAATGTTAAACTTTATACTATGTGTTTTTGCTACAATGTAATGAAAGTACTTGTACATCTCCCAAAGGAAAGAAAGAAGAAAGAACCCCATGTCCTTCTCTATGCATATCTAGGAACTCAAAGACACTGGACCAGCTCCTGTACGCTCTCTGAGATTTACCACCTTATTTTTCTAAAAATTACTTCTTGCTCAGAACATACTGGTTCTTTTTCTTTCCTTTTTAAAATTAATTTACTAAAGGACCAAGTAGAGAAATTTATACAGCTCAAAAATAAATTCTCAACTAAGTTCAGTGAATTTTCACCAAGTGAATACATCTGTGAGAAGAGCACCCACATTCAGAAACAGAATAGTACCAAAAACCTAGCAGCTTCCTTATTCTTGTTCCCAGTTACAGTACTTCTCAGACTCCTCACAGCTCATAAAAAGCAACCTTTATTCTAGTTTTTAATGTCATAAAGTAGTATGCCATAAAAGCCTTGTTCTGTCATTATCTTTTTTTCTGTTATCCACATAGCAACATCCCTGTAACCTGTGAGTAAAGCCAGTCATTAAACTACAGCCCTTGGGCCAAATCTAGCCTGTTGCTAGACCGTTTTTATAAATAAAGTTTTATTGAACACAAACATAACCACAAAGTTCAGCAGTTACAACAGAAATTCAGTGGTCCCACAAAAACTAAAATAGCTACCAGTAATTATTTAGCTTTTATTCCTAGGTTGATCAGCTATCCTGAAACTCCCCAGGGAACAATGTTTGCATTCCTCCTCTGTGTAAGCCAAGCATAGTGATAATGACTAATCCACTAGTAGTTCATTGTTGTCCTGATGGCATTAGCCTACAATGGAGACTGAAGTGTGAATCAGAGACATTAGGGGAGACTGAACTAGTGGCCTTACTCAATGAAGTAGCCTGCTGTAGTACCTTGATAACCTCTTATCCTCTGCATCATTTGCTGTCCTTAGAGGTAATTCTCCTTCCTCAGCCTAAGCATTAGCATGTCCTGGGGGTGGACAGCAGAGAAGATCACCTGATCCATAGCGGACATTCTATTTTTATAGGCTCAAGCCATGCAGGCCCAGAGTGGAAAAGGCCAGGGAGTGTTGGGGTTGGATTTGAGGGTGCATACCAGTGGTGGTAGTGCCTACAGACCAGCCAGCATTGCATTCCTTTGCAAGAACTCTGTCACACTGTTTCTGAGGAAGTATAACTTTGCTTCTTTGCCAGCAGCTGCACAGACATATTTTCCACATTACTCAAGCTTCTGCTAGTGGCCACCTGGATATGACAAAGAAAGTCAAGCCTAAACTAAATTAAAAGTTATCAGCCATTTTAATTCATTTCCAGGAAGTTAAAATTATCCGTACTATATTTCGGATAATATGAAAAATGGAGGATTTTTTTTCATCCTCTTTTGAATATTTCCGTTCAGAGCATAAATACTTGTAGATGAGCAGAGCTGATAATGTTCTCTTAAAGCGCTCTGTACGTGACTGCCTATTTTGTCCTATTTATGTTAACAATGAACTTGAGTGAAGCTAATGAGAAGGTTATTTTAGGGCCTCGGAGACCGCAGAAAAGGAAAATGACAGTTCCCACAGAACCATAGTGTGACCAAAATAGAAAGGTGGTGACTGGCCTCTCTGGAAGCAGGGAAGGCAGGGAGGAGAGGGCTGATGGTACCACTTTGAGGCATTTGATTTGCTTACTAGTAAGTCCACTTTTTTTCTGAAGCTCATTTCTGGCTGCTGTAAAGGCACAGAACAGAAGATTCAATTTCAGAATGACTCAGAGAGGCAGAGATTTCTGCTGGGGCCCATTTGCCTTCCTGTAACACTACTCAGTACCGTGGACCTTGGTGTCAGAGGTCCCCTGCACAGGGGGGCACATTATGAAGTGACCACCTTGCTATACTTAGAGTAAGGTTGCCAGCAGGGTGGTGAAGGAAGAAAACTTGCTGTGTTGAGGGGCAGGACATCACAGTGAGAGCCACTCAGTACGGGTTCTGCTAGAGACTGTAGACTTCCCAGTGTGTGGAGGGCGGGGTGAGGTTTCTGACGAATCAAGGTGAAGAGATTACTTAAAAGCTCTGGTTCTGCACCTGGTGAGAACCCAAAGCAGGTCTTCACCTGGCTCTTCTGCCAGCACTTGTTAACCACCATCTTTTATTCCCTAGGAGAGCCCTAAGTCTTTGAAAGAGCCACTTTTCTCTCATCACAGAGTACTTCATATGCAAATCATTATAAAGCAGGAGCACTGTTCATTGACCTTATCTCTGTTAATGTCACTGGGAGGAAATACTGGTTGTTCTCCTGTGCTGGCCAACTCTGGCACATTGCTTTTGGTGTCTGTGTAGCTTGCTCTTCTATCACTTTCCTCCCCCTCTACTTACCTGTTGTCTTAGCTGTGGATGAGAACCAAGCCAGGAAACATCCTCAAAATCTGAAAATAAGAACTTACGCATCAAAATAATAGTCCTTTGGTGCAGCAGAGCCGACATCTCATTTGTGTGATTAAAATCTATAGCGTACAGGCTCTTGCCTGCAATATTTCTTTCAATTAGATTGCCCAGATTAATGATTTTTTAATTCCACATTTCCTTTTTGTAATTACTTTTCAATTTTATTATAGCTCATATTTCTTTTAAAAGCAGGTTAACTCAGAAATGAGAAAGATATATTTGGCAGTTTTTGAGTTAACATGATTATATTTTATAATTTCCTAAAAAGATCTCTAGTGTGTTATATCTCAGCCGATTGTATAGCAAATGTAATGGGTTTTTAAAACTTAATAACAAAAGCAGCTGCTATTTCTATTTTAAAATATCCTTGTAAATAACTACCTACCTGGGGTAAATTATCTATGTCAACCAAAATAATAAGTCTCACTGTACTTCATCTTCTGAATGAATGTCTTACCACACAGGAGAATGTTCTGTGTGGAAAAAAATAGATTAAAGTTTTGTACTTATGAATGCAGGGAATTTGTTTATAAGATAGCTTTGGCTGTTTAAAATTTCATGCAGTGCTTTCAGCAATATACTTGTAATGTTGTAATTTTAAGAGTTTTCTTTTATTAGACAATGAACTTCATCAGTGACATGTGGAAATTTCCAACATAGAAAGCTCAGGTATTTTCATAATTGATGTACAAAAATAACTTCAAATTACTTTTTGTTACATGGCAACTTAGAATAAATTTTCATAATTCATATTAATCATATCATAGATGCCAGATGTATAAATGGTTTAATTCACTTTTTTAGTTATGATACTCAGGGTGATTCAGAGTGAATTCTGAATATTTAAGCAGAGTCAGTGTGTCATGCTCCTTCTCCTCAGCATTATAGAATTTAATAAGTGAATAATTGAGAGGTTGCTTCATCTGGCTGTGGCCAAGCAGATCGCTACATCCCTTTTACTGCCATTGGCATAGAGCGGTTATTTCTGAATTGGCAACTGTGCAAAGGGAAAAAATGTTCCTCTAAGAAAAAGTAATGATTCATATGCCTGTTAGTCAGTCAGTCAGGATCAAGACATTACAGATTCCTCCATACAGGGCCTTTTTATTGACCTGAACTTGTAGAATTAACAGGTTGAGACTGATTTTTCACTTCAAATCAGAGAGTAATTCCTCTAAAGCCCCTATTACCACCCATATTCATGGAGTTCAGGATATTAAATCATACACTGAAGGTGTTTGTTGTTTCCTGCTCATCACTATGAGGAGTTTGATTAAGCTTCTGTGGGGGCTTGAAAGCTGGCACACAGTACTGGGATCTGTGAAATGGCCAGCACTGATTGGAGACACCAGTAAAACCATAGCCTTAAAAGGCCACACACATGCCAGCCCATTGGTGCAGCTGCTTCTCTGCTTCATCCCTGACCCATGAGTTCATCTATTCTCATAGAACATTTTATGTTTCTATCATTTATCATAATTTCATCATATAAGATTGCATGGTTTATGTTTTATATAATTCAAAGAACAGGATTTAATTCTATGTTTCTGAACTGTTCTAATGAAGATTAACTCTAGTCAGCATTATTTTTATAATAACTTATACTGATTATAAGTTACATTGAAGTTTCAATTTCAACTTGATGCTTCATAACTGAAAGTAAGAATCAGAAAAATAAATTATTTTCAGAGAGATTGTGGTGGGGATTCGTGGTGACTTTGTATAGAAAGATGGAGTCATGTAATGGTTGAGAGCACAGGCTTTAGAGTGTGACAGACTTGGTCTAGGTTCTCATTCTGTTCTTTCTAACTAGGTGACCTTGGGGAAATCTTCAACCCTTCTCTTGAATTTCTTTATCTGTAGATTGGAATAATATTTTCTAAGCAATATTAGTAGTATTAAATGAGAAAAATTTCAAGTCAAGCATTTGACATAATGCCTAACACATAATAAACACCAAATCTATTATTACTGTTATTTTTAATGCTATAGTTACTGGCATATCTTATGTAATTATTGGTTTCTTTTAACTTTTGAATGAATTACTTGAAAATGACTTGAAAGCATAGACATATTAGCATACCTTGACTAATGTTATCTAAGAGTAATTGAGTCCTTGTTTAAGATTATATAGGCTAGAGTTAAATTTAGATGCCTTGATATATTTGTTATCTGAACCAGATTGCAGTCAAATCACTATGATTAGTTTTCTTTATAAATTATGACGATTAGAACAGTAGTAAAGGGTCATGTTTAAAACAGAAATCTGAACCACAAGACTATATTGTTTGCAGAACCGATACTGTTTATTCTCTTCAGACTCATGATACAATATGAAAATGCATAGAATTTTTGGATCTTAAATAGACTGTAGAGATAGTTATAATTCAATGTCCTCATCAAATGAGGAAATTCTATAGGAAAAATGAAGATTTCGTCCATGATTGCTATTTTTTTAAGATATAGAGATAAGAACTACCTAATAAAAACTCCAAAGTTTTGTGATTTTTATAAAAGGAGTAGAAATTTTAGAGATATCATCAGTGTCTTTAACTGTTGTGCAGATGTTTTTTCTTAATATTATTATCTTTTATTTTTAAATTGACACATAAACTTACCCTGTTTCAACATGCATATTTTGCTTGCTCATTCCCATGTTACTGGGCATTTGAATTATTTCCTACATTTTTCCTCCCTTGTTTCTTTTTTATTTTTTGGTGTCTTAAGATAGGATCTTACCAGTTAGCTCAGGCTGGTCTTGAGCTCACTGTGTAACCCAGGCTACACAGTGATCTTCTTCCCTCACCCTCCCGCATATGAGGATTGTAGATGTGTGCCACCATGCCTGGCCACTTTTTTCTTTTATATGTAGAATGTATGTATATTTTTATTTTTTATTTTTTCATTTATTATTATTTGAGATAGTGTCTTGCTATGTACTTCAGGCTGGCCTTGAACTCATTAGGTATTCCAGGCTGGCCTCAAACTCATATGTGATACTCCTGCCTCAGCCTTCCAAGTGCTGAAATTACAGGCATGTGCCACCACACGTGACTCTTCTTTTAAAAATCATGTTACTCCCTTGCTTCCCTACACTGCCCATGATTAATTACTAGGGAACGATACCCACAAATTAATCAAGGTAGAGCATTAAATTCTACTTACTAGTTATTAGGCTCAACTTCACTTCACAAGTAGCTTATTACTGGAAACCCACATACTGGAGACTTGACTGTATGAGGTCTCCTTAGCTTTAAATGTAGGTCTTTTGGCTGCTTTTTATTAGGCAAAAATTTTTTACCTTCCTGGAAAGAGTTACAAAGAGAGGTTTAAAGGTAAGAGAAGAAAAGACCATTCAGGAAGGCCCTTAGAAAACTTGGCAGTTTCTGATTGCTCCTGTGTCAAATTTCAGAATATTTTTTTGTTTTTCTTATTGTATGTTAGGTATATTTCCAATTGTTAAAAGTAAAGATAGAACTATTTTCAAAATATACATTTTAGTTTAACCATAAATAGACTCCTTTCTATTGTTGTAGATGAGAATGTACTTTAGGCTTAACATCACACAATTCTTTTGTTATAGAGACCCTCTTTTATTTCTCAGCCCTAAATACAGATAGGAGTTTCTGTCTTTATAGCAGTCCTGCTGCTGGAGACAATTCAGCCTTGATGGAAGGAAAATCTTGTGGCTACATAGATGGAGAGCTGTGATACAAGGGCATAAGGATAAAAATGGAAAGAAAAAAGGAAAACTATAAGGGCTTCAGGACAGGGCTGTGTAACAAAGATGAATCTGACGGCAGGCAGCCTCTTGTTCTAAAGGTAGAAGCTTCTGTAAAATTATCAAGGAAATGAATTCTTTTTGGTTTTGGTTTTAGTTTTGGAAATAGTAGTAAATTCACATAGATCATAGTTCAAATGAAAACACTCCTTGAAAGGGTGGTCACCAGCTGCTCCATCCCCCTCCTGAGAGGCAACCGGTGTTACTCACAATCAGATTATCCTACCATAGGTGTTTTGTACAATGTGGGTATCCATGCACACATATGTTCCTGTGTATATACACACATATTTTTCCTCCTCTCTTCTTTAATGAATAGTTGCACAGTATGTGTACCTTCCTTCCCCCTTCCAACACTAAATCTTGGAAATTATTCTATCTTCATTAGAAAGCTTTTACGTTCTTTAAAAGTACTTTTTAAAGGTCATGATTCCATACTGAGTAGAAGTAATTCTTAATCCACAGATTAGGTCTAGGAATTAGCCTTTTACATAGTAGAGTTAACGGTGGATGAATGAAGGAGTGAATTATTTTATTTAAAGTATGTATAGGAAGAAGAAAAAGGCTAAGAAATGACTGAAGCTTTGAGACAAATAATCTAACACTGGTGTTAGCCCACAATGACCTCACAAAGTCATTCTTTTTGAGAAAGCATCAATAAAAAAAAAGAAAGCGTCAATAATTCTCTTTAAGGTTTCATATTAGAAGTCGGTAGAAAGAGATACCTTTGGAAGTTGGAGAATAGTTATAGGTAACCCCTCTGCTTCAGGAGTCAGGAGATAACATCTGGTGCCATTTTGATTGGGCCTCTAAATCAGAGTAAGTGGGTTCAGGTTCTTCAAATATAAAAGAAGGGGCTTGAAGTACACTAGTGAACCTTGCAGCTCTAATACACATTTCTAAGTTCTCTTCTTGATCACCAGTTTGCACATTTGTCATATTTTTAGTGTCTTCAATATGCCTACTGTATTTCTAGAGACTTAAAACATGAAATGTCTTTTCTGTGAGATAATAAAAAGCCACAAAAATTATTGAGGAAAATGTAGCTAAGATTCCAAGATTTAAACAGTAAAAAGTAGTTTACAGCAATTATATTCCTCACAAAAATGGATTGGCCACACAATAAGATAAAGGCAGATTTATGGAGATAGGACCTCAAAAACCCACATACTTTTCCTTTGAGCTAGGCCAGCCCGGTCTTGAACTCACTGTGTAGCATAGGCTGACCTGGAAATAGCAGTGCTCCTCTTGCCTCAGCCTCCCAAGTACTGCGATTGTGGGTAGGTTGTACACTGGGCAGCAGAGCCATTTTGAAGAGAATTAAACCTTTTATCAGATAAATGAAATTACTATAATATTAAAAATTACTCAACATTAAATATAATTGTTAATAATGTGTTCACATACTTTAAAATATTTAATTTGGGGTGTGTGTGTGTGTGTGTATGTGTGGTACCAGAGATTGAACTCAGGACCTTGTGCTTGCCAGGCAAGTGCTTATTCTACTGAGCTATCTTCTTGGCCCAACTTTAAAATATTTAATTAAATCTAATTATCTAAATAGTGTCTAATAGTAAATGTAATTCATAGTAAAATAATTTTTTATCTTTATTTTAGTTAAGTATGAAAATGAAGCTAGTAAATACTGGGACACATTTTACAAGATTCATAAGAATAAATTTTTCAAGAATCGTAATTGGTTGTTGAGGGAATTTCCTGAAATTCTTCCAGTTGATCAAAAAGCTAAAGAGAAGATGGGAGAACTACCATGGCATCTTGCCGAAACTAATGCCACAAACTGTTTCTCAAGAGTGCCAGAAGAGAAAGAACAGTATGAGAAAAGCTCTGGTTCGTTGGATGGCCAAAGCAAAGAAGAGTCTGGTGGTCTCAACCTCAACTCCAAAGAGCAGAGCAAAGGACTCCTGAAGACCGATCTATTTCCTGGCAGCGGTGCTACTTTCAGGATACTAGAGGTACTGCTCTGAAGGAATGAAAGCAGGAAACAACAAAAATTTAAAGTTCACGTTCCACATTATTTTGCTAATGATCCAGACTGTTTAGGTGAAAAACGATTAAATCTAATTATATGCATGCTCAATATATTTTTTACACATAAATAATATTTGAGGGGACTGGGGAGATGACTCAGTGGAATAAGTGCTTCCCTGGCAAGCGCAAGGGCCTGAGTTCAATCTCTTGTTC